TATATATATATATATATGTATGAGAGAGAGAAACTGAGAAGATAATGGAGAAATATTAGATTGACAGAGAAGGTCGAAAGAGGATCGCAGTGAATAAAAAGTAGTGTGTAAATGAGAGAAGATTTTAATATCAGATATTATTCTTTTAAAATCAGTGATAGCCAAGCAATCTGGGCAATACTTGAAGCATACTTTCGTCATGAAATTGATTTTTGCCGATCTGTTTTCATACTCTACAACAGTCTTCACTAAAATTATACATTTTGTTATGATATCTGGGCAAAGACAGAAGACTGTCTTATTACTACCGTTATTTTTTCTCTGTTGTCTTCTGAAATGTTTCTCTTCTGCATCGGCTCGGCTCTCTTGTAGCATTTCGAACTTTCGTCATAGTTCAATATTTTGACGCTTCTTTAGACATTTATAGCTATTTTGATCAGGGTTCCTAAAAATCCGTTTATCGAACTTCATACCTTTTCTTATAATAACCATATACTCTTTTTTTTTCATGGCTCTAATTCCTTTCTTCTTCTTCTTCTTCTTCTTCTTCTTCTTCTCGAATTTTATAACCCTTCTCACTGCAATCATCGTTCACAATTTCTTTTCTCTTTCTTTCTCTTTACAATTATAGAAAATTGATGTTCATAATTAACTTAATCTCCAACTTTTATTGTTATTACCATCACCGCCATCTCACTTTTTATTGCAACAATCATAAGTTATTATCATTATTGTGACAAATATTATCGTTATTATTAACAGTGTCAGAATTATTCACTTCACTATTTTCCACCGGGGCTTGTCGAAGGCGTCTTTATCTCCACCGTTGCCGTGTTTAATATTACGTGTTATTTGTCTATTTGTTAGAATTCCTATTCCTGTTATCCTTTTCGAAAAGGACTTGGGAATTGCTACTTGTGGTTCTCTTGTTACGGGGAAAGATTATTAGTTTCATATTAACAAAACGTCTGGATTGCCTGGCTAAGGACTTGCTATTTTCTTTTAAGCAACACCAACACCATTAGCACCACCAATAACCTCATTCATCAAAACGACTCACCCCATTTGGACTACACCCAAACTTAAAAACACCACCACCGCAAATCTTCATCAGTTTATTCAACATCAGGAACCGTCATCAACATCATGAACAAAAGCATCAATACCACCAACAACATTAGCATCATCAGAACCTTCTCCATTTGCACCGTTATCATCATAAATGCAGACAGAAGCATCATCCTCACCACTCTGATAAACAATTTTCACTAACCCCCAACCAATGAACAGCATTAGCGCTAACACCACTCTTAGCCACATCAACATCACCTTCCAGAGTTACAACCTTTATGAACAGCAGGACACACCAACATAACCACCAACAACAACATACAGTTGCCTCAGTAGCATCATCATCATGAACAGTAGTACCACTACCACAACATAGACATGAATATAACTAACCCGACTCGAATTGGAACTCGAATTTCCAATTCCGAGTCGTTATCGCTTACACCAACTGCACGTCCAAGTTAACAGCACCCGGTATTCCCAAACAGTCACGCACCTGAGTACTGAACAGGCTCGATGATCCGTAACTTCGGTGATAGTATGAGAATTGGCGCTTCAAGGTTTGAAGAGCAGGGGTTGGCGGGAAGAAGCTGCTCGAGTGGAATTTACTTTTCACCAAAGGAATACGGAGGAAATGGTGGTTTGCGACAACACCAGTAACGTGTCCTCGTGAAGGTTCGAACTAGCGAAACCAAGGAATGCAGTTCGTCCGAGCTCTTTCCATGGAAATAGAGTCAGAGGCTCGCCACATCCCATCTGCGAGAGAGGGGTTGAAGGGTGGAAAATTATTTGTTACCCACAAGGATGCAAAGACATCAACGAAAGCTGAATATTGATATTAGCCACGTTAATAATATTTTTTTTAGTCATTTCACCGCAAACAAGACAATAAAGCCACTAAGACGCAAGGAGTTACTGAATGTTAGAGAGTATGTGAAAAAAAAAAAAAAAGAAAGAAAAGAAAAGAAAAGCAGAGAGAACAATAAAAGAAGAAGAATTGAGGACACAGAATATAACGATAGATATTAAATTTTTGAAGATCAAAGTTTTCTGGGAAGCTAGAAGCCGGAAGAGAATTCCACAAGCGAGAAGTGCGATAGAAAAAAAACTTAGCATTGAACTAACAGTTACATGTAGCCATTTCAACTGTAAAATATCTTGTTAATCTGGTAGTGCCATCTTACTGCAGCTACCATAATAGCTCAAAGTTTCTAACTATTTCCCATATGTACAATTTATCTGGGAGGTGCATGGAATAAAAAAAAAGAATTTTTAAAAATGAAGCCCCAATGAATATTTATAAGAGGAAAGTAATATTTATTTTGTTTTAATACAAAAATTTTGCACAACTCCAAAAAGTGTGGTAGGAGAAAGTTGGTCTAGAATCTGTCTTATCTTAAACTTAGCGAGCCACAGTTACTAACTCAAACATACCACAGTATTCCTTACACCAAAACAGTACATTCTTACTTACCAATCTTAGTACAGCCACCATAATACCTCAAAGTTTCTATGTGGTCATAATTAATTCCCATATGTACAATTTTTCTGTGTGTGTCGGGGGTGGGGATAATAAAAACATTTTAAAAAAGTGTAACCCTAATGAATACAAGAGGAAAGTTCGTCAGAATGGTTACCATGAAAGTATTTATAGAAAAAGCAGAGGGAAGCTACATTACGGCGGTGGGAAAGTGATTGAAGGCGATATGCCAGGTCAGGACCAATACCATTGCAGATTCTTTGGATTTTATCAAGAATCTCTAAATGTATAGCAGGAGCACCAGACCATGTGTGGCTGCAATAATCACTTAAAAGTGGAATCGGCAAATCTTTTGCATTCAGTTTGCACAAATATTGTTGGGAAAAAACAAAACAAAAACATGAATTTGTCCCCCCCCCAACTACCTCACCTACAGTTTAAAAAGTAAAGGAAACTTGGTTCTCTACGCTTGCATGGCACGCCGTTTAAGAAAATGAAGGCTTTGAATTCCAAGCAGCGGAGAAAGTTTGATTGATTGATTTGTTTGTTTAACGGCATATCAACTCCTTATGGCTCATTTAATGCAGAAATTTAATTTTCTTGAGAGCTTTGACGTAGTAAAAACATGATGTACGATGTTATTCTGCCTTCACAATTGAATACATGGTAGATGATACTCAGTTTTTGTGCGTAGACATGTTTGGTTTGGTTTGGTTTGTTTAACGACATATCAACTCCTTATGGGTCATTTAATGCCGAAATTTAATTTCCTTTGGAGCTTTGGTAAATTTTATTCACTATTAAAATCTATTGCTGGAAATTTTTATTATAAGAATATATTTTTATACTTTTATTTTGGCTGCAGTTTGGGGGTACACCGTTTGCTCATAGCTGGGAACCTAACAAGTGATATCATCTCAGGTTAAGTTGGACCTGGGAACAACTGCAAATAAGAAGTTGTTTTATGCTTCTCAAAACCCCCAATCTTCCTTGCTGTTGAATCTATTTTATTGTCATACCCAGGACGGCCGTGGAGAAGGCAATGGAAAACCTCTCCATTACCAAAGTATTTTGCTGTTATGAACTATAATTCATTGGCATATTATTTTTATTTGAGTTTCTGAGATACTTTGTTAACTTTATATACTAAGTTTTTGTTGTTGTTTTTAGAGAGTTCGACGATGTCAGAGAATGAGCGACCAAGAAATTATGAGAACAACAACAACAAAAACAGAAATTTCCAGAGACTCAGATAAGCAAAACTACGCTCGGTCAAGTCGGAGAGACACGTCGGTCTCATCAAGAAGAATTGACAGTTACAAATTTTGAAATTCCTTAGAAACGGCACGTTGATGTTAACAAGGAAAATACATTTAGAATCAGAAAGAGAGAGTTGGAATTTCCGAGACTTATAATAAGGAAAGAAGGCTTTGAAAATGTGACACTCATAGGACTTATTGAAGGCCAGAGGGAAAACGAGGAGTAACGTTTGGTAAACGAGCTTGTGTAAATGGATGGCAGTAGATTAAGTGGGCGGGATTGTAAAAATATAAACATTGCTAAGAATGACAAAGGATAGGAAGTTGTGGAGAGCTATGATTACCCGCATCCTGATAGAGTGTTGCACATAGAAGGATAAGACTATCATGATAGCGGCAATTTTTCTAATTCTTGTAATGAACACTATGTTTATTTCAAATGAAAAACAGTTCTTACCACCGTTATTCTTATCGTTGTTATTATCATCGTTATTACGAATTGGTTTTGTGTTATCACCTTTTGTTGGCTTAACATCATTTCATCTCTTTTATTGGCGTGAGCTGATTTTCGCCTCCGTTTCAACATTGTTACACAATAACTATTTCACACAAGTCTTTATTTTGTTTCTGTCTCAAGGTCAGACCAATTTGTAGAAAAATTAGTTCGATGAGTCAACAAGAAGAAAAGCAAGATAGCACTTTTTTTCGGTTTTGTCTTACTCTTTTTGTAATCATAAGAGAAGGCCGAAGTCTATTTTCTTATATGTGTCGTGTCCTTTCAGGGAAGTGGGCGATCATGGCTCTCCAACTTCCCCGCCTTTGTAACTTTTAGCAATGTTTGTCTTTTTATTATCCCTTCAATTCCCTTTTGTGTCATCCATTGACACAGGCTTATTAAGTTGGTTTCTCGCTGATTCTTCTATTCCTCTATTTCTCGTGAGTATCAAAATTTCCAAACCTTCTTTCTTCATTATGCGTATTAGAAATTTCAACTCTCTCTTTCTGATTCTAAACACAAGCGCCATTTTTGTTTTCTTTTTCCTTAGACAATTATCGTTGACAGCATCCATAGTATTTTCAGTACCCATCAGTAGAACACATTTTTGTTGCATGAAATTTTCTTTTCATCTGTGAGGAAATTGCCCAGTATTCACCTCCATGTACATAGCAGTACAGCACTCTTTTTGTTTCTAATGAAATTTTCCTGTTGCTTAATACTTTGTTTAGATTTTGGAAAACATCTTTTGCCATTTCAATGCGTTTTCGGATTTCGAAGTCATATTTTCCATTGCTTGTTAAAACATTTCTCTACTTGTTTGATTTTGCCATCTCCAATTTGTAGTTAGCATCTCTTGCTGAAACCCATAAATTTCTGTCAACTGATGGTTAGTCGTTTCTTCTGGCTAACTTTTATTAACTTGTCTAAGAGTTGCTTTTGTTTGTCTTTTATGCCTGCCCTCAACACAGCGTCATTTACGTATCTTATGTTAAGGAAATAATTTAAAAAAATCATTTTCTGAGGTTACTAAAATCTACGCTAAGGACAGTTCTTTTACGCGTCACATAATTTTTATTACATATCGTTATAATTAAATTCACTGATTTTGTTTTCTACCAGTTCGGCTTTAACATAACTGCATTATTAATTTTTGTTCGTACCCAGAGATAATTGCTTGAATGTTAATTTCGTGCACATTTACATTAGTTAACTTTTCATCTTTAAAATTTTTTTTGGCAAGACGAACAATTTGATTTTCAGGATGGGAAGAAGCGCTGTCTTGTATAAATATACACTTTAATTTAAATTCAAATATCCTAATTATAGATAGAGTGTTTGGTGCTGGTAATGCGGAAATGTCAAAGAGAGGCTTTAAGGTACTTCCTTGAAATATAAATGTTGACATTTCTTGATTTAATATGGAAAAAATTATCGCTTGTTGATGTTCCTAAGATCTACGATAACACTGATTCTTCTATGCGTTTACATCACCTTTTATTACAGTATATTTTACTATTAGTTCTTTCTTTTTATATTTTGTTGTGCTTAATTTATGAATAAAACTATAGTATGTAAACAAAAAAACATTCCTTTTTATAGGGTTCTGAATAACGCGCGGTTTGCGGCACCTATCTGATGTCTTGGAACGTATTTCTTGCATATTGGCCCTGAACTGGCATCCGGTTTCAGTAACTTTTCCACCGTCGTAATGTAGCTTCCATGTGCCTTTTCTATAAATACAATCATGGTAATTGTTCTGATGAACTTTGCTCTATGGTACATAGACTTCATGAATTTAAGCGCAGTACTAGATTGGCGGTAAGGTCTCATCATTTTACAGTTGAATTAGTTATATGTAACCATAAGTTCTTTCAGATTCTTTTCTCGCACTTTTTGTCTGTAGTACTCTCGGCTTCGTGCTTTCCAGCCTAATTTGATCTTTAAAAATGTAAATGCAATGCCAATAGTTATCTACCGTCTTCATAATTCCTCTTCTTTTACTGTTCTCACTCCTTAATAATTTTTTTCTTTTTCTTATTCTTTAACACTCAGTAACACTTTGTGTCTTGGTGGTGGCTTTATTGTCTTGCTTGGGGTGAAATAGTTTAAAAAATAGTAGGGAGAACTGCCGTATTTGAAATTGTGGCTTTTTACTTGGGTTCCATCGCTTACCACTGATACCGATCGGAAATACTCAATCCACTAAGCTGGCCATTGAGATAATATTATTTATTATATTAATATTTATGAGGTTTGGCTTGGTATGTCATAAGGTAAGACGTTCAGTGATGATCGAATTTATTATGGTTGATGGTAGACAGAG